TCCTGTAAAAATAAACTGAAAATACATGAAAAATATAAAAATAAATTAAATCTCATTAAATGCTCCCATAAAAGTAGACTAAAAATATATAAAAAATAAATTAAATCTCATTAATGAATTAAGAGAATTTGCATATTAACATTAGTCTAAAATCTATTAACCAATGAAAGTCAATTTTTTTTTACAATTAGATTGAAGCTACAAGATTTATATATTGATATATTGATGATATTATTGATATTGATATTGATATTGATGATAAGATAAGATGCCTTGAAAAGGAAAACCAAAACATGTGGAGAAATGCAACAGACATGAGCCATGAATAAGGAAAAACAAAGTCAGTTAATGCTCCCATCCAAGTTGTGAATTACGGTTCAAAATTTGAAATTGAAAATAGGTGGGGCTACATGAAAAATTGATTGAACCAATAGGAGAAGATAATTAAATTTTAACCAAGATAAAATGACCAATGACAAGGCTCAAAATCTGATCATTGGGATGCTTTCCACAAGATTTGCTAATATATAAATATATTGATGATGTGATGCCATAATTATATGATTAAGCCTAAATAAGGTTGTCTAATTTTAAATTAGAAATTTAAGGGCTAGGACCATAATTATATGATTAAGCCTGAATTAATGTATATGGATACCATAAGATGATATTTCTAATTTGATGAGATGGTTAAAAGTATCACATTTTAGTTCCATTGATTAATAGTCCGGAGATATACATTAAAATTGCTCTTTACTTTCCCTCTTTGGAGAAGATACGGCAAAGGTTTTGACATTGCTAATGGAAAAAAGGTCAATCTATCAATTTCATCATAATCCTTCTATAACCATGGATTTCGAGTGTAAGCGCGTGCGCGCGCGCGCGCGCGTTCTTTTTAGTGTTTCTTATTTTATAAAAATGATTAGAGGTGCATCTTTAAAAGAACAGTTGGGTTTCACATATAATTTAAGATTTAACATGTAAATGATGAGTGAAAGATGCCAGATATTGGTCTATCACTCTTGATTAGAGAAATATTTAAGTAGACCAAATGTACCAAATCATTTATAGTCTATTTAATAAAAAATATGATATTTAGATGACATTAAATATAAATTGATTATGGTATTAATGATAGTAGGGAGAGAAAAGACAAGAAATCAAATATACATTCTGTTATAAAAATAAAATCAATTTAAAAAATATCATACAAGAATTATTTTAGATTATTTAGAACATTTTAATTGGACAAACCATAAATGATATGGTGCACCCAGTCTATTTAAGTATTTCTCCTGTTAATCATGATTTTTCATGTCTGATTTACTATATCTCAACGTGAACTTTTTCAACCTTCTCCTTTACATTGAAGAGATTTTTAGCATAGTGAGGGAGAAGTTTTAAGGAATTGGTCTCTCTTTGCAATGTATTAGATCCAAAGCCAAATGGTGCCCTGAAATAGATTGGATTAGACTTGATACTAGTAGCAGTTTTCGATCAACAAAAATGGCATTGCTATTTGTGGTAGACTCATTAAAAATGTTCAAGGAAATTGGATAAAAGGATTTACGAAATACCTTGTCTATCACCTCAATACTACTAGTCTACTACTAAACTTATGAGTATTCTTGAAGGCTTAAACATATGTTGGAATAACAAATTTACTAAAGTCAACATTTATTCTGACTTTCTTAAAACTCTTTCTCTTATTCATCATGAGTCTTCTAATAACCATCCTCTTGCAAACACTATCAAAAGAATCAAGGAACTCATTATATAGGATTAGACGATCACTTTTGATGATATATCTAAAGATACTAATAAATGTATTGATTGGTTGGTGCATCAAGCTCTTGATGATGATTTAGATATTAAGATTGTTATATTCTACCCTTAGAGCGTGTAAATTTTTTGTATTCTAATATAATATAATTTTTCACCCCTTACAAGATCGATATGTGGCCATGTACTTAAAAAATAGGGGAAATTTCATAGGGAATCTCTAATTCCTTTTGATATATGACCCCTGCATTGGCCTTTGCACTTCAATTTTTTTTTGCACTTCAATTTTTTTTTCCTTTTAAAGAAATTCAACAAGATGGAAGGTGAGGAGGGAGGACTAGCCTCCCCCAAAGTGAGGATATTGTCAATTATACATGAGCAAAAAAAAGTGTACTTTGAATGGTAAGATGCTCTTTATCTTAAATAAAAAAACTTTTAATGTGAAACCGTTACCTTTTATGTTTTTTGATATGGCTATTTGATTTGATTAAATTCGAGCATGACTCCATAATATTAAGTTAGATATATCTTTTACATTCACACAATAAGGGTGGAAATAGATCATGTTAGACTTTGATCAAACAAGCTTAAACTTGTCACATGAACTTTAAGCTTGAGCCTGTATGTAGGCCTTTTTTTAATTGAGCCTAAGGTAAGCTTGGCTTAGCCTGGCTTGAAGCTTTTTAAAGGCATACTTCATATATTAGCATTTTAAAAATAAAGCTTTTAAATTTAGATATCAAAATTTCTAAGTAAGCTTCAAGTCTATCAAAGCTTATATTTTTATGTAAGGTTCAAAGCCCATGTATTTCATATTTTAAATAAGCTTAAAATCTATTTAAATATTATATAATATATATAAATTTAAATATAATATAATATATAAATATTTAAAATATAAAAGTATATCTTAACAAACAGACTTGTAACCTAAGGCCGCCTAATAAAAGCCTGACCTAGAATTTAAATTCAAGATCATGTACTTAAGTGACCATGTATAGCTCATTCTATTATAAGGTCAACACCTTTTGCTGGTTACCACTTGTATTTGTAACAACCATACTATCGAGTTGCAATATCCCCATCCTTTGTAATTGGCGGCATTAGTGCCATCTAAACCAACTATTTTTTTTTTATTTTTTTTGTGGTAAATTAGCGTTGCCACGGTTAATTTTTTTAAAAAAATTTAAATTTAAATTATATTTTTAAATTAAAATTGAATTTTTAAAATTTATCATATTACAATAATAATAAACAATTTTATCCTACTAGAGGTTGATTACATTTTAAAAATATATGATGTTGTATTAACATATTCTATATTTAACTATGAAAGTTAGGTCTAGTAAAAAAAGTTAGTTTCTTACGGCATGATGAATTAAGGTTTAAATTCTCACAAAAAAAAGTATTCACATTTAGTACCAAATCATGTCTTGAATATGATTACATCCTATAAAATGATATTTATGAGCAATTAAGAAAAAACATCTTCTATATTTATGTCGTTTTAAAATTAACTATCAATTTTTATTTTCAATTTAGGTAGGGGTTGCAAATTTTGAAATAAAAGAATTATTCTTTATATTTTTAACATACATAGAGTTACAAATTAACTGACTTTTCTTTTTAAAAAATGAATTCAATAAATTTTTTTCCCCCTTCCCCTCCGTATACCTTAAGTTGGGTGGATTAATGCACGGGTTAAAAATCTAATTTAATTAAAAAATGTTTAGATTATATAAATGTTTTAAAAAATGGTCTATCCTTTTTATTAAGAAAATTACATTTAAGTCTCAAATAAATGATTTATTTAAAAAAAACATGAATTTTTGCAAATTTACAGTTGATCAGGTTTTTTTGAAGTTGGGATAGTGTGGTTTTTTCACATTCACAACAAATTACAGTCAGCTCCCAAAAAGATTGTATTTTTGCAAATTCACGTGAAATTTATTTACAAAATAAATATTATTTATGGCTTATAGCTTTTTCACTTTAAAATATTTTGCAAAAATTATTGTCATTACCCATTAGCATTAGAGAGCAGCCAAAAAAAAAAAAACTATTGATGTTTAAATTAAAGCTTTTTAAAAAATATATTCCACCACCCAGTTTTTTGGGATACCTAGGAGCATATTACCACTTTTCATCCAAATTAATATGAACCTTCACTCTCTGTAAATTAAAGCTTTTATTGGTATGATTTTTCCAGCCTATAAATTGTTAACCATAAAATAATCACATTTTTTAATGCTTTAATACCATCAAGATATTCAATAATTTGTTCAAATTATACTAATGTCAAATGGTTGAAGGGCTACTGCGTTAATGTTAATAAACATACAGATCTAAATTGCTGAAAAATATTTAGAGGAAAGGTCAATCTCAAACTGAGCAAGATATAGGTTTTTTCTATACAATGCACAAAAATTACAATGACATAATTTTTTTTTTGGAGACCCATATTCATTTTTTCAACATTTAAATGCCATTGGGATAATGCACCAAACAGTTTTTTTACTGATATGTGGAAAACATACTAAAAGAATGAGAATAGAGTTTGAAAATTTGAAAAAAATATTACAAAAAATCTAAAATTAAAAGTAATCGTACAATTAGTAATCTCATATTCTTATATTATTTTTTATATACTCCCACTAGTCCTAATTATAGATTGAAGTCAACTAATTTTACGATTCTGAAAAAATGATAATTAATAATTTTAAATCTGTAAAAATATTTGATTTTCTAATTTTACTGTTTAATAAAATTAATAATCGTAACAAAGTGCATTCTAGAATTAAAAGTTCTCCAACAACTTAATTCAATTAAGGAGGGGCAATGTTAAAAAAAAAATCAATTACATCTTTATCCTATATTTAAAATCAAATAAAGTTTTAGAATTTCTTATTATAATTAGCATCAGAGGAGTATTAATCTTATAATACCGGCATGAGGAAAGAAGTTAACATTTTAAAAAATATTTGGCCTATAAAAAAATTAAAAAATTATAAGAGATAATGAAATATAACAATATCACAGATTTCACGTCACACAACATCAACAAGGTCGTTGTAGTATAGTGGTTAGTATTCCCGCCTGTCACGCGGGTGACCCGGGTTCGATCCCCGGCAACGGCGTCGTTTCATTTTTCAATTTCCACTTTCGCGTGACGTTTTTAGTTTCGACTTTTGATACTTCAAAGTGGCGGGAAGTAAAATCCTAGAGAGGAGAGATGGAGGGAACGAATCGTCTTCGAAGTTAAGAACACTAGAAAGCTATCTCATCTCCATCAGTCTTCGATCTCATTCCCGCCAAACAAAGCTTTTTCTCTGTTCTCTCTCGATTTCTTCAGTCAATGGCGAAAACAACATCCGCTGAGAAATCAGAACCAGAAGAGAAATCGGATGGCCTCGAGATCATTTCCATCGGTTCTCTCTACAAAGGTCCCTGGGACAAGAAGTACTGGAGCAGCTCTAGGGTTCGTTTACAATTTTTTTTATTGACCCCCTCTTAGGTTGTTGTTTTACCTTGTACTCTATTTGTTCTCGATTGCGGCAATTTGATTCTAAGTTTAAGATGCAACTAGCGTGGATTCACAAATCATCCACAGGATATCCTGGGAAAGTATGGCTCCAAGCTAGGTCATAGGTTCTGATCAGGAGAATCAACCTTTTCAATCCTAGTTTCATGCTGAAACTATGATATTAATTGAAGACATTAGTTCTATTTAAGGCATTTTTATTTAAGTTGGGAGCTTGAAGTTTATAAAGACTGAAATTCTGCAGCCAAAGTTTGGTGCTTCCTGCTCAAGGGTCAAGGCATCGAATTCAAATGATCAACTAGTTAACTGTACTACTGTAGTGAAAGTCATCTTAACGGGAGTTTCTGACCATGTTAATACTCCTTTTATTTTTCCATTAACTGACGGTGTCTACTGTCTTCCAAATTAATTTTTTACAAAAATAGTAGCAAGGTACTCCGATCGTAGCATGCATGAAGATTTTTGCATGATCAATAGAGAGACACTTCAATGGTTATATTAAAGAGCTGGCGGGTTTGACCTTTCCTAGCATGCCTTCTTTTCCACTCCCCCCCCCCCCTTGCCTGATTCCTAGCATGCTTGACAAAAATGCTTCTTGGTAAGAATGGTTCTTGGGGGAAAAAATTGTGTGATTGTTTAACGATACTTTAGAGTGGTAAAAGGAATACACTATTTGTTAACTATATGAAACAGTGAGCTAAACCACCACGTGACATTGACTAATTTAGAGAATAGGGCTCAAGGCGATATTGTTGATTGCAAAAGTAGCGGTCATGGACTCATGGTTATTTGATGTATTGAGAATTCAATGATTGAGGAGCAAGACCTATATTTTGTAATATAGACACAGGAAATATGACATAATCTCAATTTCACTTCGTTTTTATAAAGTGAATGTGTAATATACTAAGTGATTGTTTGACTGGCATATTTACTTGACATTGGTACTTTGCAGGGAAAAGATCGCTATCCATATCCAGTTGGTTTTCAAGCAATTAGAGCCTATAATGGGACCACATATAAGATGGAAATTCATGAAGGTGTCAGTGGGCCTAGATTCATGGTTTGTAGCCAGGCTTTTTGATGCTTATATATATATATTTTGATTCCTTTTACTTGACCATGTTTGAAAAGAGATCGGAACAGACCCATCATGTTTTGACAGTAGCAATATGCTTATTGTTTTTGCCAAAACGTGGTTTTGGCTTGTTCCAACTTTTTTTCCCCAAACATGCCCCTAAAGTCACCTTGCTTTAAGTAGTATTAAACAACCATCTACTCCCTGAATATGCAGATTACATCTGCTGATGGGTATTCCTGCTCTGGGAAAACTCCAGACATTGCCTGGGAGGAATTTCAGAAAAGAGGTTGCCCCCGGATGAAGATTTGGCATGGGAAGAGACTTTCATCCAAGATGGATGGCTTGGAGGTAGAACTTTTTATTATTATTATTTTTTTAATGCTGCCAAAAAAGTTATCTTTTTTGAGTTCATTAAGCACATAAACTAATGTTTGTTTTGTAACTTTTTATGTTCTTGTGAGTATTGTAAATGAATGCTTAACAAAACAATATCTAAAGAGAAAGGGAATTTTAATTTTAACAGTGTGCTGGCATGATGAAATTTCCTCTAAAGACTTGTTGACTTTATGTATTATTTTTCATATTAATAAGCTATATTATCTAAACATTCTTATTGCATCATTTTCTCCATTGTGAGCCGTGCTGACATTATGGTTGACTTTATACTCGTTGGTGACATTTAAATTAATATCATGAGGAAACATTGCAACAATTGATAGGCTTATTTCAATTTGAGAATGAGGATTCAGAACTTAATTCGTACAATTTTAACCAACTTATTGGTTAGGAAGGATAAACCGAGTAACCTGGCAGTATATTTGGGTCTTTGATAATTGGGTGCAATGCAACAAGTAGGGGAGATTATTTGATTATGATGAAACAAGTTAACATCACCGTCAACTGTCCTGTATGCTGGAGGTTGTCTGATGCCATATTGAACTTATAGCTCCCACTGATTTCATTTACATGTGGAAAATTAACACAGATGAATGCTTGTAATATGTAATTAGATTTGATGGATCGCAAAGGTCTGATATGTCACAAAGGTCCGATCTGACTATTCTCAGTTCCTTTGTAATGTCTTGAGAAAGCAATGCAAATTGAAGCAGAATACAGGAGTATTTTTTTTTTTTTAACTTGCTTGATACTCTTCCTCAGACTCTAGGTGTCTAAATTCTTTAGCATGGCTACTCACTCATTTTCATCTAGTTTCTTGTGTAAGTATCAGATTGCTTGCAAACTAGATGCTTTGTCATGTATTTACGGAGTTTTGCTGATCCAGTTGTTTGTTTTAGGTATTCTATAGACTGGGCCATATGTTTATAAGTAGAGGGAGATTCAAATGCAGGAGAATCAAATAATGATCTTTGCATTTATTCTTGATGCATTAATGTTATGCCTTGTAACCATGTTTTTATCCTGTTTTATTGTGTACACATATTTCATCACTAGCAAGCTAGCACTATTCTAGGCCCCCCAAAACTATCCCAAATCCTATGACTATCTTCAGTCAATAGGCAGATAAACAACTCCAGCAGTTTCTTATAATGCTTTACTTTTATTGTCATCTCGTGCAGCTTTTTGGGTTCAAGAATTCATTGGTACAGAGGTTGCTCCGGGAACTGGTGGCAGATTTAAATGGCATAGCTGAACAGAGCATGAACTCATGCAACGAGATCTCTAGAATAGAGCATGATGATTCCCGCCAAAATGTTGGCATACATCCCGACTCGCTACTTTGCCTAGCAAGACCACAGGTTAAGGGGAAGAGGGGTAGGAGACGGGAAAGTAAAAATGTAAAGTCACGTGGGGAAACTATCTTTAAAAGACCTCGGCCTCATGAATTCACATGCAGTCGCATAGCTTCAATAAAACGCAAAGTTTCAGAAGGGAATGAAGCCCAAAAAACGGGTGTTTCTGCATCAATGCGCATGACGTCCTCTGTTGGGGGAAGTCCTAATTGCTTTTCATTAAAAAATGGTTTTTCATCAAATCAGATTGTTTCTGGTGACCAAGAGGGGAGAACTGTGCATGCAGAGACAACAAGTGGGTTTGTTGACTCTAAAAACAGCAAAGCTGTGGCAGTTGCTGATCGCTTCTCTAAAGTAGAACATGTAAGCCACACTATATAACTTATTTTTCTTTTGCTGGCAATCTAGTGAATGACTAATGAGCCATTATTTATTGGCAACATTTTGCTTCCTAAAATATGTTAGTCCTTATGCCCTTATTTTGCAGGGAGAAAGGAATAAAGTTAGGAGTGATTTAGGGCTTGTTTGGTTTTGTTTTTTGTTTTTATTTTCTTAAAACAATTCTGTAAAATAGTTTTTCAGAACAAGTTTTGGAAACAAAAATGAAAAAAATCTGCTTGAATCATTATTTTGAAAAACATAGTTAAATTGGTGAAATAAAAGATGAAAGAATAATTTATTTTATTGACATAATTGTCATTAATGAAAGCATGATATTTTCTGCTTTTTCTCTAGTTTTGCAGAACAAAAAGTATCAAGACAACTAAAAGATGTTCTGGTTTTTAAGCTCTTCAAAACAACTTTTAACTTTTTTGCTTTTCAAAATAGATAACAGAAAACACATTTTCAAACAGTTTATTTATTTATTTATTTATTAGAACAAAAAACTGTTTTCTTTTTAGCCTCTTGAGATTCCGATATCCATGCAAAAATGTATATGAACAATTCTTTTTATGCAAGAAAAGCTCTTAACTTCTTGCAGTTTGATAGGTCACACGAAGTTGAGCTGAATGCATCCCAGTTTTTGGTGGCAAGAGAAAACATGAAACTGCTTTCATCAGTCTCTGAAGAGTCCAAAGATTGTTGTGACATTGATCTTTGTGCTCCTGATGCCATGGATTATGCTGAAGGTACTTGCTTCTCATGTTCATAATTTCCAAGTTTAGTGCATCAACATCTACATTCTCTTTCTCATTCGCTTATTCATGGAATTCCCACAATGAGATGGAAGACCTATTTTTGTAGGAAATGCTTGTTTTCTGGGTGATTATCATGTTCTTCAATAAAGAATATTATGTGGACACCTTTTCAACTCAAAAATATATCATTGGATCAAAAAATGAGGTGTCTTTTTTGTGACAACGCCAAGCATAAACAAGTGAGGTTTCCTTCAAGCTGTGGTCCCATATACCCAACATGTCAAAAATTCTGTAAAATTTGACTATATATAGGATTATTTTATCTAGTCATACTGCAAATTTTCTCATTGATTTCTCCTTCACTATTTAGATGCTCTATTGAATCTTCCCTTTCCTTTTTTTTCCTGTCAATTCTCCATCTTACTCCAGTGCTCTGCAGAAAGTACTTCTAATTCTACGCCAAATACCCTGGATAAGATTGCTGACAATGAGAGAGCCTATCAATATGCCTCTGGAGAAGCATTCAGCATAGAAGTTAATGATGTGGCGAAGTCAATGATGGCAGTTCTGCTTCCTCAAGTAATTCCCTTTCTGAAGGATTCAACAACTGACAAGTTAACAGTTGGTCCTTCAGGGAAGCTACCTTCTATTATGAACTCCAACCAAGATGATAAAATTGGAAATCACTTGGAAGAAGCTTCTGGTAATATTACTTATTGATCCAAATCTTTCTAACTATATGTTGTAAATCTTTTACATTATTGTATTTGCTGCCAGGATTATCGTTTTAGCATATTACCCTTTTATTCTTATAATATCTTTTTTATTTTGTGAGAATGTCTGTATTTACTGAATTGACATTAATATGTAATCTGTGGATGTAGTGGTGATTCAGAATGCACATGTGGATAGAGAGGAAAAGATTGATATGAAAACTAGAGACGTCAGTTTTTTCATTGCTGACAGTTTTGAGCCCAGCCAGTGTGAGAATCATAAACCTGACCAAGCAATATTGCATTCGGACATTGCTGAAGCTAGCCGAGCTAGTTTAGATAAAGAAATATGCTCTCCGGCAAGTCATGAACAGCATGCCTTTGGTGTTTTGCCAAACGAATCATCAGATTGCTATGCTGATATGAAGCTAACCAAAAATAAATTCTGTCATTCTTCAGAGTTGGACTCCGAAGAATTGCCTCCGGATTTTGAGATCTGCATTCCTGATCCTGTTCTTGAACACATGCCTCCTTTGGATAGAGTTATTTCTGAAAGCAACAATGATGCTTGCACAGATATGAAAGAAAATTCAAATAAAGTTGGATTGAATTCTATGGAAAAGGACCATAAGGCTGCACATGATTTTGAAATCTGCGCTCCTGATTCTGTTCTAGAAGACCTGCCTCCTCAGGGCAGAGTTGTTTCTAAGAGCTGCAATGATGCTTGCACAGATATGGAAGAAAATTCAAACCAAGTTGAATGTAATTCTATGGAAAACAACCAGAAGGCTGCAAGTGATTATGATACCTGCATTCCTGATTCTGTTCTAGAACACAAGCCTCCTCTGGATAGATTTATTTCTAAATGCAACAAAGATGCTCTCACAAATATGGAAGAAAATTCAAACCAAGTTGGATTGAATTCTATGGAGAAGGACCATAACGCCACAAATGATTTGGATATCTACATTCCTGATTCTGTTCTAGAAGACACCCCTTCAGACAGAGTGCTTTCTAAAAGCAGCAATGATGCTTGCACAGATATGGAAGAAAATTCAAAGAAAGATGGATTGACTTCAATGGAAAAGGACCTTAAGGATATCTGCATTCCTGATTCTGTTCTAGAAGACACGCCTCCACTTGACAGAGTTGTTTCTAAAAGCACCGATGATGCTTGCACAGATATGGAAGAAATTTCAAAGCAAGATGAATCAACTTCTATTGAAAAGGACCATAAGGCTGCAAATGATTTTGATATCTGTATTCCTGATTCTGTTCTAGAAGACATGCCTCCTTTTGACAAAGTTGTTTCTAAACGCACCAATGATGCTTGCACAGATATGGAAAAAATTTCAAGCACCAATGATGCTTGCACAGATATGGAAAAAGTTTCAAACCAAGTTGGATTGGATTCTATAGAAAAGGGCCATAAGGTTGCACATGATTTTGATCTCTGCATTCCTGATTCTGTTCTGGAACACACTCCTCCTCAGGACAGAGTTATTTCCAAAAGCAACAATGATACACGCACAGATATGGAAGAAAATTCAAACCAAGTTGGATTGAGTTCTTTAGGAAAGGACCATAAAGCTGCACAAGATTTTACTGGAGGTAGATGGTTACAATTTCTTTTTTTTTTTTTCTTTAACATGGTGATAAACTAGTGAGTCTCATGTGTTGTTGGAACTTAATAAATGAGTCATAATATTTATGGCTTATGAATAATGCGGGTTGTTAGAGTTTTTATATTATATATAGATATTGTCAGAATGGTTTACGTGGACTTGATTAAATGGTCTTGTCTGATGTTAGTTGAGATGTGTTATGCCAATTTCTGGATGTTTCAATTTAAACTAAATTGCCATGGTCGTAGAAAACCTACAATAGCACTTTCTTTTGTGGAATCACATGCTCAGGTGGGGTGAAAAAAAAGGAGACTTCATTGTATCTTAGCTGTTCTAATCCAACTATTATCTAAGTTATTCCGATTTTCTTAAAAATGCAGATATCAGCAATGCACCTGAAAGAAATGCAGAGGATGAAGTTGTGGGTAAAACAACAAATGCTGAAGCCATTGCCTTGCCTATTATTCAAGTACCAATTGTAGCATATACCAGAAGAAAGTTCAGAACTGTTTCTCCTCCCACAGGATGCTGCCTACTTCCAGAAAACACCAAAACTGATGAGGACGGAGAACTTGTCACTTCTGAAGTAAATATTACCAAGGGCACTTCGCCTCCCTCAGAAACCATTCAGCTGCACACGTCTGGTAGTGAACTGTTTGAACCAGCTTTGTTTGGTAATCAAGCAAGGGATGAGGTGCAGTCTGATGATTTGCAAAGAGATAATTCTGTTACAAATTCTCAAATTAAACAGAGCTCAATTATGTCAGAAAATGGACCATGTTTACGCCCCCTCAAAGAAAATATTTTGTGCCCTGATGATCTCTCTGAGTCACATGTAGAAACACCTCCAAGTCGTAGTGATGTGCTGGTTGGCTACAGCAACCTTGCTGAGTTGAACAACCCAATATCATATTGGGATCCAAAACCAAGCTCTTGTGGGAATAACTGTTCTTCCGAAGAAGCACAAGTTATTTCAGAGCTAAATCCTCACACAAACGATGATATCAGTGATAATCTGGGTAAAATCATCAAGTTTGTGGGGTGCTACTTCCTCCCCATGCCTGTTTCATCGCTTTTTTTAAGCAGAAGAGAGAATGAAATTCTCATTTGTGTTATTTGTGGCCCTGTGGTGAAACAGGAGAGGACTTTGTTCACCTACAAGGTGTCTGTGAAGGAACCCAATGTCGGGTGCCCATCTTTCATTGCCCACACATCATTATGGCTGCCGGACCCAAAACATAACTTCATTAGAGTGGTAAGTTGGTCTCTTTTTATTTCATTGCCTTCTAACATGTTTATGTTGATCTTTCAGCTATTGATAATACTGCCTCAAACTCTATTGTGTTATTGTTTTAGACTCTGGTCGAAAGATCTGGCGTGCAGTTGACTCCTGATGGACAGTATATTGTTTTACTTGGCAGCATAAAAACTCCGAATTGCAGGTTGACTGTTTCCCAGTGTTTGCTTTGAAACTTATATCGATTGTAGCCGTGTTTGATAGCATATCTAATTTTCTCATTATTCCAGGGAAAGAAAAATTTCTTGTAATTGTTCATCATGCACGTCAGTATGCTCTGAGGAAAATGCATTGAAGATTGTACAAGTAGAACATGGTTATGTTTCCGTTGTGGCAACATTGAGGACTGTCGAGGTTGTGCATTGTATTGTGATTTGCGAACCTAACCTACTTTGTTCAGTTGGGGAGAGTGGTAGATTGCATGTATGGGTCATGAATTCAACATGGAGGTGATTCTGAATTTCTCTTGACATTCTATTTGTTCTTGCTTTCTCCTGAGAGTCAATTATTTCTTCTTTTCAATTAATTGATTTTGTGATGACAAACTTACATTGATTTCTTATTGTTTGAGTTAATGAGGTTGGAGGTCTTTGTACTTCTTATGACAAGTCGCATGAGAAGGTTTGAATAACTGTCACAGGTGTTAATTTACTTTTTTTTTTTTTTTTGGGGTGGGGGGTGTGGGGAAGTACAGATCTCCCTTGAGGTCTAGCTTGTTTTCATTTGTCATCTTGTGGTTGAACAAGTTTCCTATGCTTCCATGAGGTTTTAGTGATCATAACCTATTTGAATGTTTTTCTTTTCTTGGTTGAGTTTCAACATAATTTGTAATTTGGTTCAATTAACATGATAACCTCTATGTGGGTTAGCACTTAATCTCTCCCTCTCTTCCTATGGGAGGTTACGCTCTATCGGGAAAAACCTACGAGGGCAGAGGGACAAATTTCAAACCGCAGGTAGCAAAGTAAAATCAGGTCTAATCATAGATGGAGAAACTGTGATTTACTCCTTTTTTCCTGAGTTTAGAAGTTGCACACCAACTTGATTGAAGTTAATTTGTTTGTAGGTGTCGTTTGGATACATGGCTTGAACAATTGATCATGTATGGACTTATAAAATAAGCTCTAATTCCATAAGTTTATTTAGTCAGTTGGTCCCTAATAAACCATTTCACTGTCCTCTATGCTTATGATCATTGTTGGTATGATTGCCATTGATATTTGATTCTCGGGTTTGGTAAATAAAACTTAGTTTATTCCCTTCTGCAGAGATAAAGTTGAGGATTTTATCATACCAGCTGATGACTCAATCTCTCCTGGCATAGTGGAGTTGAAGAGGATTCCAAAGTGTTCTCATTTGGTAGTTGCTTTTAATAGTGTTGGCGAATTTAGTTTATGGTATGCTATCTTCAATTACCCAGACCAGAAGGTCTTTTTCGTGAAACTAGCATTTTTGAACCAAATTTGATTAACTAATTACATTTGGTGTATATCTAGTCTCTGGTTGTTTCCAGGCCTTGCAGATATCTCTAACAATTTCAATGCATCTCCCTGAGATGCATTGAAATTTTAATGAAATTTTCCCTCTCCTCGTTTGAATGTCCCCTCCCCTCTCAACCCTCCTCCCAAATTGGGGGGATTCCTCCTACCCCTCCCCCTCCCCTCCATTAAAATGCCTTCCCTCCCTTGCCCTCCCTTTCTCTCCAACCAAACATAGCGTTAATGTCTCTAATTCCGCGGGGCATCTTTGTCTCTATTACTACTGTTACATCACTTGCTTTACTTTCGTTCTTCATTTTTGTAATATTTGCAACTCACTGAATGAAATTAGTAACACGTAGGTCATTAAAGAATTCCTTTCTGGGTCTTTATAGCCACAGTATGTCTTGTACATGAAGAATCAACCCGTAGACTTCGCAATTAGAGATTGTTAAAATTACAATGCTCAAGTTATTCCTATGGACCTAGTAATTGTGCACTTGGACAGCCCTCCACTCCTTTTGTGGGGGGGAAGGAATTGCTGTTTTTCTTTCTTTCTTTCCGTTTTTATAGCTACTCTGTCTATAATCTTATCCTCATGATTCGGATTCTTTCCCCAGGGATATTTCAAAGCGTAATTGTGTTTCAAGCTTCTCTACTCCAACAGATCCGTTTACTCAATTTTTGCCAGTTAGTTTGTTTAATTGTCGAAGAAATAGCCTGGGTTTCACATCTACCAGCGTAGGGGAGCAAGTTGATCGACTTTTAGGAGCAACCCGTCTGTGGTTCTCAGAGCAAGAAGAACAATGTTCGCTTCTTTCATCAGAGGAATGTGATATTGCCATGTGGCTGCTTGTCTCGACTGCCTCTGATGTTGAATCTCCGCATAATTTTATTTCAAGTCATTGCCAGATAAATACAGCTAGAAGTTGGAGGCTCGCTCTTCTGGCGAAAAATGATATGATTTTAGGAACTTCCTTCAATATAAGGTACCAAAATAATAAATTCGTGAAATTGATAATTGAATTGTGGCCAAGAAAACAAAGAAATTGATAATTGAATTTGCAGGGAAAATTGTTTCTTCAAATATTGGTAGTTTGTCGCATGTTTCTTATTGCTGTGGCTAATATGTTTAGTATTTTTCACTGCTCAGTGTAGACAACGGGCTATTCTTTTGTATGGGTAGGACCATAAATTAGGTTTCAGAAGTTATTATTCCCACCTATTTTCATTATAATTTAGGAAATGAGTAGAGTTGTTGATAACTGTTCCAACTGGATGTTAAGCCAGGTTATGTCATCCTGCCCTTTATCTTTTTTATTGTTATAAATACACTTATTACACACATGATATTGCATTTGAACACTAGCTGATGAGATATCTTATCAAATTTTATTGAATATCTGCCCAGTTACGGCTAACACTAGTTTCGACAATTAACTAACCCAGAAGTTGTATGCAGAACTACTGCTATTGGTATATTGGGTAGTCATGGAATCATCAGCACACCTGATGGACAGGTGTATATGTGGGAATTGTATGGAGGATCGAAGGTTGGCACTCTTCACCATTTCCAAGGTATGTTTCAATTGTACCACTTAAAAATTTCCGTTGGAATATCACTTTCATATGGATGTGATAGCCACGAGTCAGTCCTTTGATTGTTCTATGCTCTAAGCATTAAGCTAGGTTTTCATTCCTCGTTAATAACTTTTACTTCAAAGAGCTTTTTACTTGAAATTCATGCTAATATACCTGTTATTTCTTTCACTGATAAACTTGCCTATTCTGCCGCACTTGAGTTGTCCATGGCATTTGTGGTTCAAACGCACCTTTAAATTGAACGGTAGAATTCATGGTTCCTAATCTGCTTCCATGGAATCATAGCCACTTTTTAGGCATGATTGCAAGTAACAGTAGCCTGGATGAAAGAACCTGTATTATATCCATTTCAAAACTTAAAAAAGTAGGTTCACTTAAGCGCTCTCAAGTGGCCCGGACGATATGATCTTTAATGTTTCTTACTGATGGAGATTGACTGTATGCCTTTTTTTTTTTTTTTAACTGCCACTTACTGAGAGGGTTAGTCTATTGTGCTAGAATTGGTCCACACCTAGCATACAATCTTTTCATTCGGAGTATTTTACAACGATACTCTACATTTAGGGGCAAACTAACTATCATCTCAGGTCCCCCTTTTTCTTTTTCTTTTTTTTTTTTCAGATGGAAACTATAGATGTAAAATGTGAACGCATAATCAAGATAGAATTTCAAAATCAATTAGTATTTGATATCTTCAATGGTAGAACAAAATTTCCAAAACTTTTGCAAAATGTACTTGTATATTTTTATATCATTTACTTGATTAAACAGACGCTCTCTGTGCCGGCAAGTTCGTCATAGGTCATTTCTCAGTCATTAGTCTCAATCTTGGATACCTTGTACTTCCGTTCTTAAATGAGTCCTAATATTGAAAAACACAAACCAAGGAGGTACCAAAATCTATGGATTATGTAAAAAAATTAATTTTTTCTTTTCATTTTTGCCCTCTAATGTCACAATATTTTAAACCCCAACTACCAAGAAACAAGTATTGACTATACCAAAAAATTTGTAGTAAGATTTATTGTTAGGTTGTCCAAATGTAAATGGATATTAGACGATGTGGGAATTACACATCAGATAAAGTTAAGCTCAATAATTAATATATATTAAAGAGAAATAACTCATAAACTTGAGTCTTAAACTTTTAAGTTAAGATGTCATTATTTTGCTGTTCTTGCCCGTCTCTTTTCTCCCCCTATTCTCGGGCCGTCGCTTCCCATTCCTACACTTGCTATGGATTACGGGATCAAAAGGAAAGATGAAAATTAGGACTTATATTTAGAAAAGAAGAAATTAATATAGTCCAATATATGATTTAATCTCCATTCATGTTGTGAGCAAAAAGTTTTTGACCTGTTCCCTGATTTTATGTCTGAAGTATTAATGCAAAATAAATGTTTATGGTTATTAGATGGCACTGTCACGAGTATTGCTACAGATGAATCGAGGGGAGGTGCATTGGGGGTGGCTGGTGGTGAAGGTCAGTTGTTGATTTATGTGCCTCATAATGAACTAAATGCAGAATAACAATACTTTGACTATCATCATTGGTCTACCCTACAAGCTCTCTTGTAGAATTTGCAGCCTTTACCCTCATCAGCACTTCATTTCTAGCCATTAAGAGTAGCTTCCTGATTCTGAACCGCACATAATGTTCATATCTTCCTTTTTGTTTTTGGCCAACAATGTTCATATCTTTAGTTGCTGCAAATTTTTGCAGTTTCATCGTACTTTTGAGCAAGTACTTCTCAACTTTGATTGTACAAATTTAAACTGGATCAGTACTTAATGGGTAATTGATGCTTCTACTTAGTTTTGGAAGGGAAAAGGAAAGGGGGTATTCAGTGTCTCGAATGAACAGTAAAAATGTGCCTAGAAACTTGGAATGCATCCATGTTATTTTACTTCTCAGAAAAAGAATCAGTTTGTTGCATTTTAATGTACTGTTTGGTTGGTAGAAAAATTCTTTCGAGAAAAAAAATATGAGAAATGCACTTATCCTATTTTGTAAGAACCTTTTACATTTCCGTTCTAGAAGTGTACCAAACATTGCCTAAGAGAACAAGCCTTTCTAAGTTATGCGTATAGCCTTTTTAAAAAAAAAAAAAATTGGTTAAGTGGCATTGAAAGTTAACTGATAAGTGACTCATTTTCTTTTGATGGTAGATCAAAGTGCAAAACGTTGTTAAGGTTCAAGCATTAATTTAGTCATGTCGATTGAATAAAATATTGCATGGATGTATCTTAAACCTCGGACTTCTATATTCCATGAGTGTGGAACTTGTTAACATAACAAATTATAAATACTATATTATCAATAAAATAAATATTTCAAAACACTAATACAAGTAAATGGGGCACACAATTCAAGGCAAATTAATCTATCAAACCTTGCCACTATTTATAAGTCATTTTCTAAAAATAAATTACAAATTGATCATACAAATGTGGGGGAAAAAAATAAACCTAATTTATTGTCCATGATAAGAGCAAGACGGCCAGAAGTGAAGGATCAACTGCCTCTTAACTCCTTCAGGAAAGGCGCGCTCTAATAATTCATGAAATGGTTCATGGAAGCTGAGATAAATGATTTTATCGTTATATGAGCGGAAAGATAGGGAGAAAAGCATTGATTTGCTTTACTTTGTTCCAGCGATGCAATTTTCACACAAAAAAAGCAAAGCCCCTTTCCTGTTCTTCTTTCTTGCTTTGCTTTGCTGTAAGAGCAACTCTTCAAAAATCGCAGAAAAGTTGCAGTGGCACTGTGGCAACAACGGGGAGTGTCAAAAACATCAGCAACTATAAGGATTAATTGGGACAAAAATAAGGTTTATTTATTTTCTTTCCATTTTTGAAAGCTAACGATGGAACACTCCATTAAGGAAAGTTAATTAGTAAGCTAGAAAAATCATTCAGGTGGCAACAATTTTTGAAATAAAGTATATAAAGGATATAAGCTTAAGTACATATGTTTTGCCCTTTACAAAGTATCTCAATTATCATGTGACTAAGCTTACAAGTGTTCTTGAAAGATTGTTGGTATGAAAAATGTTTTTATATCAATGTTCATGACAGTTGGAATGTGCATAAAATCCATTATTGACGAGCCATCAATGGAATGTGACATAAATCCGATAACGATAAGTTAACTAAAATTTGAAATTAATTTAAATAATTTTTGATTGAATTTCAAAAAGAAAAGTAATTCTTCACAATAATGATAATTATTTCAAACAATTTATTATGATAAGATGAATTATTATTAATTGAATTTCTTTTTTCAAAAGTGGCCTCTCTCCACTATAAATAGAGACAGGTGACTAAAAGTAAAACACACCCAAAATGAACAATTCTCTAATTCATTCTTCCTCTCCCCCTTCTTCTCTCTTCAATGCATCTATTGTGCACCATAATCTAGACTCAAACTTGTGTAAATAGTTGGATAAATTTTGCCACCTTTAAATATGGTAAAACTCTGACCCAACTTCTTTTATTTGGTTTATTATTTATCTAATATTCCTTCAATGACTATATAAGATGTCCCTTTCATATGGAATGAATACAATTAGACTTGCCCTCTCAGCATGATTAAAAGTATACTTATGCAAGATTGACAAGTTTCCATTAATCACGTTTTTAGAAAAGTGAATCAATGCACTGACTAACATGATTATCAAGCGGCTCATGATTTCGATATTAAGAATTTCATAAAAAAAAAAAATTTCACGCTTGAATTCCAATCAATTTATCGTTACACAATATTAACTGTGGCCCTGTCTAATATATACATACATACATACATACATAGTCACTAGGCCAGAAAGATGTAACTTAAAGTAGGTGACAACTGACAAGAAATTTCTCTGAAAAAAAAAAAACAAGAAAAGAAAAGAGAAAGAACACGCCCATCCAAAATCATGATTTCACCTGAATTTAAGAGGTAAACAATAACAAATACAACGTCAAAACTAAAAATAATAATGATAATAGCAGCAGCAGCAGCAGCAACAAGAGAAATGATTACCAAAATCTAAATCACCAGAAACTACAGACTTTGGACACTACAGATCACAAAAATTAGAGGTTCACTTGGAAGGACCATTAGCTTGCCTTGAAGAATTTGCTTCGGACGGAGCGTTAAGCTCATCCCAAGCTTCAATCCAAGTGACCATAGCGTCAGCTAGTTTGAGGAAATAATCATCAACTTTTCCAAGTTTTTCTTTGACCTGTTTGGAAATTTCAATGTAGCACTTTTGAACAGAGGTGCATTCTTTTGGCAGAGTGACAGCTTGGAAGAATGGAATTATCTCTTCTTGCCAGAAGATGCCTTTGTATTCCTTCTTGAGGTTAACAAATGGGTTGCTTGCTTTGCTGTGCCATATGTAGGGAAGACCGGTTTTGACTCCTACTCCCAAATGATCACAGATAACCTGCAAGTTCGTATATCATCTTTTCATCAGGTCCTGAAACAGTTCATTTTATAGAAAAATGGAGACTATTACTAATTAGATGCCATTTTCAGGTGTTTGTTATAGAGTTTTCTAATGAATGCAAAGGCAACCTGGAAATTTGTTATACCTCTTTTACCAGATTGGATATTTCGAAGAGGTTCATTGCAGGTGTTTTTTTTTTTTTTTTGAGCAAGAAAACACCTAAGAAACTTGATGTAACTTTAGTTTTCAAAAAACATGTTGCTAGCAAGCAAGATATTTGGATAATATTCCTCAAAGGATATTTGATCTTGTAAAATGATCACAGTGATGATTGAAAATCATAATGAAGTTAATTAAAAAAATAATTTTAAGGAATTCAAGTTAATTATCAAAACATATTAAAATATTAAGCATCAAGGCAAGAAAATTATAATTATTAATTCATATAGATCCTGTAAGAATGCTTGATTTAGAAGTTGCCGCAAAAGGGGACACATGATTAATATTTTATACCTTCATGCACCAACCGGCCCACATATCGTCATATCGTCCAATAGGCTGACCATCACCCATGAGTCCAAAGTACATGGCAGGTCCAATAAGCTCACGGTTGAATGCAAGATTCATACCACACATGGGGAACAATGTTCCTTTTGGCACCGTCAAAACAGCATCAACATACCTGAAAAGGTACATAATAAACTAAACTGGATGATAAACATCAACAACATCCATGAAAAGAGTATGTATTGCCTGATTGCCTCATTGAAGGACCTACAGACCTGGTGTTCCTCTCGAGAGGCTTGACAAGTTGTGTTGGAGCATCATAATCAGGAATGTTGAGCCAGAGACCATGAGAAACAGCAGTGGCTGCACCCTCACGTAGACTAAAAGGGTATCCACGAACAAAATCAGCACCTTCTCTATAAGGATCATAAAGAGTATTGAAGAAAATTGGAGTAGAAGGTGAGAGGAGATTCTTGATGTGCTGCTCAAGTGCATTAATATCTTTGCCAGATGGATCTTTAGCAACCTGCTCGTGAACAAAGAAGATATTTAGCAACGTGCTTATATTTCATAAAAATCATAGCATCTCCTTTTACAATATCATTCAGAGAAAGTAATGGCTAACATCATAGACATCAACAGATTGCTTTTAATGTATGTCAATCTTAAGCTTAATGTATACTCAAAATCAAGTCACAGGAAGAGACAGAAACAAGATGGAGATCTAAGTTTCAATAACTCTTCAAAGACGAGGGAGATGAAGAAAGATCTGAAAATATCCCCAAAATAATAGTAAATAGTATGTTCAAGATCCTGCGAGAGATTAAGCAAATTAAGCTATCTAGAGACCAAACAAGAGTTAACCACTCGTTTAAACCAATTGCATAGGGGGCAAAACAATTGTGTCAAACACTACAACGCCTTCATAGTCACTAGCCAGCAAGACCCAGAGCATTCCAAAGTTCACCCAGCACAAAAAATAGAAGCATAACCACATTGAGACTTCCTTTTTTGTTTTTTATACAAGCTTCAAGAACAAAAGAAGGCATCATATTAAAACTCATACTGTCATCGCTTCAGTGACGCTAATATACTGAACACGCAGCATCACCTAAAAGGAAGACTCAGTCAAATCCCGCAAAATTACAATCACCGCAAGCGATCAAACAAATCAAATCCTGAGACAATACCAGTAAACAGACTCACCAAAGCACGGAATCTCATATTTTACCAAACATCAACACCTCACCACACTGAACAAATAATAAAATTTATACGACAAGAGGAACAGGATTTAGCTCAATTCCACTTTCTTAGCCGCGAATCAGAACATAAGCGCATGAAAAAGCGAGAAACGGAGAACTTACAAAGCAATCGTCATCGATGGTGTAGATGTACTTCTTCTTAGAGACCATGTAGCCGAAGCACCGACAGGCAGAATCCTTGAAGGAAATGCAAGAAGACTTAGGACCTAAGATCCGGTTGATGTCATTGCGGTTGTAGAGCTCGTAATCGAAGCCCTCAGGGACCTTGATGGTCTTGGAAGGATCGCCATCTTGGACTATGATCAAGTGGTAAGGTTGGAAGAACGGCCTCCACATCTCCAAGAAATCGAGGTTTCGAATCGTCGGGATGACGATATCGAGCTCATCCTTCAGTAGAGGAACCGGTTTGACTGAAGATTCCGCCATTAGAGAAGCAGAGAGAGACAGAGAGCGCAAAAGAGGAAAGCAGACGAAGTGAATTTGAGAAGATGAGGTCGGTGCGATTCAACGCGGCAAAATGCGAGAGACCGAATTGTGTCGTATATTGAGTTATTGATAGAAGGTGTCGCCTTTAAATTAATACAATAATACTACCTCCGATCAAATTATGACAAAATAAAAGGAATTAAGTAAAGTCGAAAATAAGGGTTGAGTTTGGAGAGTCAGATTTAGAAGTCTTATTTAAATAAAAGTTTTAGGTTTTAAAAATAATTTTTTTAAAGTAATCAAATTTGAGGGCTTGACCTTGATAAGCCTTGTAAAAAAAGCTCAGGCTCGGATAGCCCTTCAAGTCCTGTTATATTATTATTATTATTATTATTATTATTTTCTTTGATGGAAGTTCCATCATGGAACATATATTTGAAACCAATGAGTTGCTCACCTGATTTTACATACATTATATTATTATTAATTTTAATTTTTTTAAAATTAATTTAATATAATTTAATAAATATCAGTGTATAGTGTAAAATTCCCGATATTTTTTTTATAATTATTATGTTTGTGTATTTATAAAAAATAAATTTTTTTAACCAAAATTTAAATTTTATTACTAGACTTCTAAATGTGTGTTGTTTAATTTTTTAAAAATTATAAGAATTTTATTTTTTTAATTTCAAAATATTTTAATTAATTTATAATGTTTAATTTTTTAAATTTTTTTATTTTTTTGAAAAAAGGGCTTGCGAGCCTGGCCCTGAGTCCTTCACATAAGGGCCAAACTTGAGAAACATGGTTTAAAATAAAGAATCAAGTTTTAGGGCTTAGACCTTTAAGGGCTGAGCTCATAAGGGCCGAGCCCTTAAAAGTTAGGCCCGCCCGTATTTCTAGCTCTAGGCTCAAGGGTAGTATGTATATTCCTTCCGTTTAAAAACATAAATTAATTTTAATCAAATTTTATCTTTAATAGAGTAATTATTTATTTATATTTTTATCTTTATTTAGTAAAATATTTTATCCTATAATAAATATAAAATAATTTATTCAATAAAAGAATGAAAAAAAAAGTAACAATTATACTTTAAAAAATTAAAAATATCTTATATTTTTTAACATTCAATATCTCAAAAAATATTTTATATTTTTAAATGAAGGGAGTATTTATTATTTTATTATTGAAGATTATTTTTATTATTTTAATATTATATATATGTGTGTGTGTGTGTGTGTGTGTGTGTGTGTGTGTGTGTATTTATGGGATAATTACATAAAAATATCATATAAGAAAATTAAATACCCATAAATCCCAACTACTTGTAAATATTGAAATTTAATGTAATATGTAAAAATTGAAATTTCAAAATCATTCATAGAATTTAATAATTAACTATTGGATTAAGATGTAATTTCACCCTAAACTATTCTTTGAGGAGTAATTTTATCTCTAAACTATTCATTGTGGCAATGTTGCCCTTAAACTAATTAAATTAAAAAAATATTATTTTTACTATTTAAACATCTATTACTATAGTTATTGGGATTCAATTTTCATAAGTTAAAGTGTAATTTTGTCTTTAAACTATTTTCAAAAGAGCAATGTTGCCCTCGAGAATTAAAAATCATATAATTAAATAAAAATAAAATTATAATAATATTAAATAAAATAATATTAAATGTATATATAAATATAAAATTATAATAATATTAAAAATATATATAAAATAAATATAAGAAAAAAATTTATAGTATGTTAATAAAATGTTGTAAATTAATAATTTTATAAATTATAATTTTATAACTTGTCAAATATAAGTGAATTTTGGTTAAATTAGATATAAGTAAACTTAATAGTATTTGCATTTGCACCTATAATTATCAACCGAAGCCGTTGTTAACGACTCAATTTGGACTAAAAAATCTTTTTTCATGATTGAGTTGATTAGATGAAAGTTAAGCTGTTATTAGGCTAAAAATTAAAGTTGAATTGGGAATTAGAGTGTTTTTCAGAAAACTAAAAAGTTTTTAACATAATGTTAAAAAAAAGCATAATCTTTTTAAAAAATAGAAAAATAGAAAAATTAAATCCTAATAAAAGTCAACTTTATTTTTAAATAATTTATATATACAAAATATGATTTGAGACCATTTTTTATAAAGATGTCGATAGTTATATATGCAAATGTAAAGATATTTTTGAGTCTACTTATATCTAATTTAACTAAGATCTACTTATATTTGACAAGTTATAAAATTATAATTTATATTTTTTCTTATATTTATTTTATATATACATTTAATATTTTTTTTAATATTATTATAATTTTATATTTATATAAACATTTAATATTATTTTATTTAATATTATTATAATTTTATTTTTATTTAATTTTATAATTTTTAAATTGTAATGGCAACATTGCTTCTCTAAGATTAGTTTAGAGATAAAATTGTATCTTAACTTATAAAAAGTAGATCATACTAGTTACAGTAACAAACTTTTAAATGACAAGAATAATATTGCTTTGATTTAATTAGTTTAAAGACAATATTATTATATGAATAGTTTAGAGGCAATATTATTGCTCTTTCGAGAATAATTAAAGACAAAATTACACTTTAACTCTTAAATATTTAAATTTATGAGAAAATTTAGGGTATGAATTAGAAGTTGTGAACTGAAGTTAAAATAAATTGAAATTAATGTAAAAATTATTGATTGTAACATGATTTATATTTAAAATGAGCTTTTGAATTGTATTTACGGCTAAAGCCAAAGCTCATGGCCAAAAAAGAGCTCATAATTTTAGCTTCCATGTAAATAGGCTTGTAAACCAAAAACTCGTAATTATTTTTTTATCTAAATATTCTTTCAAATTTTTCAATGAGCTTTTAAGACTTAAACTTTGGATAGCCTTAGTTTTCACTTATGTCGATCTCTATGCATAATGTAATAGTACGTATGAAGGAATTGATGTTTTTGTCGCCTAACATGAAAAATCATGGCATTCTTCAAAAATTTCTTGTTGTAGGTTCACTTTTTTCTCAAAAAAACTTGGTTCTCTAAAATAAATAAAAAACCCAAAATATTGTAGAAGAAAGCCATATAGACAGAGGTCACTAACTATATCTATACAAGCATTTTTCAACTTTTAAATATGGAATAAATTCAATTTAAAAATTGTATCTTCCATCCTTTATATTTTAAAGGGAACACATGAGTATATTAAAATCATTGCTAACTTATTATTAAAAAAAATCATTGCTAAACTAAACATGAGTTATTAGTCACAAGCTTGAATAATTTTCTGGTTAACAAAATCACAATCTTTTGAAAACTATTGATCGAATCCAGCCTTTACAATCAAAGTGTTTATAAAGAAGAGAAAAATATGCCTCTAAGGACCAAATTCACAAATCTTTTATTCTCAAAGACCTTGGTTATGTGAAATTATGAGGAAAAATTACATCTAAGTTTTACAAAAAAAAAATTATTATCAAGAGGTTTTATAAAATTCATAAAAGTACTTTCAAATCTCAAATTTTGTGCATTTATAACTCAATTAAAGGCATTTACAATTGGACAACGGACATTTATAATTTGCTATTATAAGTTTTTATTTTCCTTTTTAAGTTATAATTACTCATTGTTTAATTATAAATGTTTTTAATTAAGTTATAAATGAACAAAATTTAAGATTTAAAAGTATTTTATAAATTTTATGAGATCATGATTCAATGCAGTCTTGCAATGTGGGCATGGATTGTTTTGGTGGTTTGGAACAATAATAGCATCTTCCATGAAAAATTATGCGTCTAAATTATGCTCAAGGTTGACTTTAGCGTCAGGAAGCATGTCACCAATAATCAGACTTCTAATATATCTTCTAATTTTGTCTCTTTTAATGTGTCGATATTAACCCTTTCTTTGTAACCGTTTTCCTTTTGTTTTGTTTTTTTTTTTTGTTTTTACTCTTGTTGATATACTTTTGACCTTTTTATTAAAAAAAAATACAAGAACACAAGGTTTTAACTTTACATGAAAACATGGATTAATACACATGATATACACCTACAGTATTTAACACCTTACATCAAAATATACATTCACAAAACACAAATAAACAATGTTCATTATTCCAAAGATCAACATTTGACAATGCTTGGATATGATTAACCAATCACCATAAAACATCAATCCTCAGTATGTTAATTAATTTTAGCCTGCTCAACTATAGAACAATATTATTCATCAAGCATTCATGATATCCATGTTAATCAACATACTTGAATTGAATTCAATTCAATTCAGATGAAGAAGTATAGGAACAGAATTCAATTCAGATGAAGAAGTATAGGAACAGTTTCAAGTATGTGCATGAGGTGGAAGTCTTTTTAAGCTATGAGGAGGTCAATCTTATTTTGTCAAAATATGAATAGCTAGAATGGACCTCATGATTCTCAGGGAATTGGAAAAAAAAAATTGTTCTTTTTTTATTTATAAATTATTTGTTCCTTTCATATTTTATATTGATATTGATATTGATATAATATTGATTAATGGTTGATGGTTTTAGAAAAAAATTAATCATTTAATTTTTATAATTTTAACTCGATTATAACTCAATCTGAAAACTTTAATTCAATACAATTTAATCCCTATAATTTTAACTCAATTGAAAATTAATCCATAAATTTTAACTTATAATTACAATCAAGTCCCTATAATTTTAACAATTCAAAATATTAGTCCCTAAGTTTCAAGAAGTAACTCTAATTCTTATAATTTTATTTTTTAAAATATAGAGACTAATATATTTTAAATAATTAAAGCTTAAAACTATAGGAATTGAATAATATCATGTCAAAATTCAAGAATTAGGTATAAATTGAGTCAAAGTTATAAGAAATGAGTTATATTGAGTCAAATATTAGGACTAAATTTTAACCAAATTATAACTATACATAGATATCAAATAATTAATTTTTTTTATTATTTATTTATTTAGAGAGAGTTGATAGTTTGGGCCAGTGGAAAAGTGGAAATGGCCAGCTTCACTTGAGAGGATGATGGGGTCCATGAACATGAAAGT